CAGCCCCACCCGCCCCAGTCACCTCTTCCCCTGGTCAGGTCCCCAAATACCTTCTACACAGTGCTCTACTTCCTCCAGATTCCGCAGGGTGATGCGCATGAGGCTGGAATTAAGCATCAGCTCATTCTTATGGGCTGGCCACAGGTATGGCGGTGCAGGGTTCACAAAGAAAATTCTGGTATCCCCAGTGGACACCTGGTTGTCACAGATGAGGGGATCTCCAAAGCCACCAATCACCACCTTGTTGCCACCATCAAGCAGACTCTCTTGGGTCACCATGTCTTTGCCCTTCAAGTACCGCCAGACTCGAACCTGGGGTGGACATGGGAGGGGACAGGTATCAGTGGCCCTCTTGCCATGAGAGATGAAGCCACAGAGTCCATGTGGGCACCTGGGCTGCTGCTTCTCTTCCCACCTCTGTTGCTCAGGTCAGATGTCCAGAGTAGACCCAAAGCCTGGGCAGAGATGTACAGAGATCTTGGGGGCACACACGCATGATGGATGCCCCTGCCAGTGCACATCACACCAAAGGACATGCAGCCTGTGAACACACAACCTTACCTAGGAAGCAGCACTACCACCCCCTAGGTCTAACTGACCCCAGCCACCTCCAATAATGTCTATCTCAGCTCAGGCTGGATATGGGAAGGAGATCCACCTAGTCTGGGTGCATGTCCCTACTTTCCCCATCTACCCACCCTCTAAGAGCCAGAGGAATCTAACATGGACAATGGACTTTCAGGGCAATGGGCTCTGAGCTTAGGGCTCTGGGCCAGCTTGGCTGCTTGCAGCCCTGTGGGTGGGCTAAGACACCCTCCCCCCACACACACACAGGAGGTGAAAGACCCCTCCTCCTGCCAGGCTCCTACAGTGAATTCAGTCAAGGCAGCCTTCGAACCACAAAATCAAGTTTGGGCAGCACAGGGCAGCCCCACCCCACACACTCTCACTCCTGGGGCCCTGAGGGTACCTGATCTAACAAACCAAACCCTGAGACACCCACAGCCTGGGGTGGTGGGGGTGGTGCAGGAGGGTCATGGGAGCTGCAGACTATACTAGGATGTCCATGGGGATATGCCCAGGGGACATGAGCCCACACACTCTCTGAGAAGAAGCCCCTTTCTTCAGGAGCTCTGGGGAGCTGAGACTTCTGGAATGGGTGATCAAAGACAATGGTGGCCTGCCCACCTGCCAGGTCCCTGCTGGAGGCCTCAGGACTGCAGCTCCTGTAAGGTCCCCCTCCACTGTCCAGTGGCCCAGTTGGGGGCCTTGTCCAACCTTATCCCTCCCAACCCCAGACACATAGTAGGCTCTAGAAGGATGATAACCAGCGGGGAGAGGGCTGGGCCATTTCATCGCCTCCCCCCACCCCAGCCACACCCAGGAGCAGCGGGGAGGAAGTCGGGAAAATCCTGCAGGGACTTGGCAAAGTGCCCTGGTGTGGTGGAGGGGAGGGGGCTGGGCGGGGGATCCCAGCTGTAGCCTGCACAGGCCAATCTGAAAGAAGCTGCCACCCCTCTCCATCTCCATGGAGAAGGAATGATCCGATTTCTGGTCAGGGAGGTGGTTTTAGGGGCCAGAGTGGGGATGGGCCCTGAGTTCCCTGAGCCCTCCCCAGGAACATACTGTGGGAAAAAAGAAAAAAAAAACCCAACATACCTACCCCAGGGAGCTCCAAGATCCAACTGAGGGAGGGGCTGGGCAAGCCCCCTCTCCTGTGACTAGAAGGATCAGTTCTCATAGGAGCAGGATGGGGCACCTGTCCCTGCACCCCTCCACATTTGAGGCTCAGAACAGTCCCCGCCCACTTTTCTGCCCCTGTCCCCCATACCTAGTCACTGCAGCTCCCCCAGGGTCCCTGGGGTTGGGGGACTAGATGTGCATCCCAATCTCTCCTAATAACCCCCTCTTGCCCTGGTAAAGGCCTCTGGGAAGGGGTGACAGCACTAATCAAAGGCCGAATCCCCACTTTCAACCCAAGCAGAAGGCGTCACCGCCCCTCGTCCCCATTCCTTTTCTTTAACTGATGGGGAGAGGTGCGGTAGCCATACAGTTTCCCTGGGGGGCGGCGCACTTGTTTCCAATAAGGTAGTGGGCCTGAGGTGGGGGTGGGGTCAGACATCACCGGGTCTCCAGGGCCTGGGCTCCGCGAGGTGGGACTGCAGCAGTACCGCAAGAACTTTCCCTCTGGCACTCGCGAGTTTTCCGGGACCCGGCGCCCCACCCGGGGGCTCTGCGGTCGCCAAGGGAGCGGGAGCGGGTGCTGCGGAGCGCCTGGTGCCCGTTCCCACGGCCTGGGGCGGGGGTCTCAGTGGGGCGGCCAGCATCTCCAAGGGGGGGAGCTTCGGGCAAGGGGTCCGGGATGGAGGGGTAAGAGACCCCCACCCAGGCTTCCAGGAGGGTTGGGGGGGGCTCAGGGTCCCGGCGGGGGCCCACCTTGCACGAGTACGTGTGCTGCACCGGGTCCACGTTGAGAATCTCCTCCACAGTGCCGGTGAGCACCACGTTCGCCTCCTCCTCCCGCCGCTCCAGCGCGCGTTCCGGGCACGTCCCGTCGGCGCTGGGCAGAGCGCGCGCAGCCACCACCAGGAGCAGCAGGAGCAGCTGCAGCGGGGCCGGGCCGGACCGCCGCAGGCTGGCCATGGCGCGGGCCGAGGACGGCGGAAGGCGGCCAGAGCAAGCGCGCGGGCCTGGCCGCGCCGGGAACGGGACTAGACAGGACGGGACGCAGCTCCCGGGAGGCGGTGGGAGCGCGGGCGGCGCGGGGGCGGGACCCGGGGCAGCCCCGCCCCCTCCCCGCCTCCCCACCTCCCCCCAATCCAGCTACCCAGCCCGCGCCGGTCCCCGGCCCGCCCGGCGCCCTGCGACCCGCGCCGACCGCGAACAAAGCGCCGGGACGGCGGCGCCGGGCGGAGGCCCGGCTGGTGGGAGGGAGGGGGCCGGACTGGGTCGGGCCAAGGTGGGTGGTGGGACTCGCAGGGCGGAGGGCGGACCGAGCGGGCGGGTGGGCGGACCCGGGGGGTGGGGGGTGCTCTCTTCTGCGGCGCGCCCCCACTGACTCCCCTCCCCCTCCCGCGCGGACGTCTCTCCCCCACCCCGCCCCCCCGCCCAGGAAATGCGGCTGCAATCGGGTTAATGCATAATCTGGAGGCGACGTGACGGGACTTCCAAGGGGCTCCAGGCTGTGCCGTGGCCAGAGCCGCGGGAAGGGGCTGCCGGGTGCTGGGACCCCGCCGTCCCTCGGGCCCTGCGGGACTGCGCCCCTCCCCTGGCGGGAGGAACCCGCTGGGGCACGACAGCCTCTTGGAAAACCGGGGCCGCAAACTCGCCGGGGCCCGGGACCCCCAGCCAGTTCAGGCGAGTAGGCGGCCCCCGCAGGCCGCGCCCCCGGCGGGCTAGGACCAATGTGGGCTGGGGGCCGTGGTGATTGGTCAGAACGGAGCGCAGACCCGCCCACCTCCCGTTCCCGGGTGAGCTGGGGCCTCACTGCAGGGCGGAGGGCTCCCTCTACCGGCCAGCGGTGACAACGTGGGGCCGGCGGCGGACGGACAGCCACGCCCCCTCTTCAGCCCCGAGAAGAGCGCCTCTCCAGCCTGCCGGCCTGGATAACCCGGGTCCGAGATCGGGTCCGAGATCGAGGGGGTACAAATGAGAGCCTAGCTTAGCTGGAGATGGAGGGAAGGGAGAGGCTACCCCTTCTGTCCCGCCAGGGCTGGGTCGCCGGCACACCCCCTCAACTCCGAGCCAGCCACAGATCTCTGAAGCAATGGAGGGTAAGTGGCAGAAGAGCCCCCCTCTGGAGGAGGACCCTACCTCCCCAGGCCCTGGTGGGAGGGTGCCACCAAGGGTGTATGCTCACACTGGCTAATTTGTCTTATGACAAAGAAGGGACCCTGGTAGGGACCCAGGAAATGAAACTGGAATCAGGGGAGCACCCCACCCCCCCACACACACACACAGCTGCCTGTCTACACATATTGGTCACAGATAAGCCAGACCTAGAAGTCCCTTGGCCTAGATACAGAGCCCCACAGACCAGAAAAGGGGCTTCTGGGCCTCCAGCCAAATTACCCTTACAGTCTGAAAGCTGAGGTCTGAGTGTCCTCAGAGAAGTATGTTCTGAGCGTCCACCCCCCACACACACACACTCCCCATCTTGCCTGTGTCCAAGGCTGACTCCATCTGGCTCCTGTAGAGCTCTTGGGAAATTGGTATAGAAAGAACCATTCTATGTGGAAGCAGGTGTGTTTCCACCTATGTGGAAATAGGTGCCCCCCACCTGGGACAAGCTCTTCCATATGAACTAGAGGAACCCCCCATCCCGGGAGGCCCCTCTCCTGCTGGCCATGGTCTCTCCATTAAGTAAAGCCCTGAAGGCAGGTGTATCTGCTGGAGAATAGTCTCCATTTAGCAGTTTGAGGGACAGTGATGTGTGTGTTCAAGGCCCTGCCCGTACCCCTCCCTAAACCAATGCAGACTGGTCAGGGCAGGCTGATGGATCCTGGAGGGCCATGAGGCCCCAGGGCCCTGGCTGGTTTGGAGGAGCCTGCTTCACAGCCCACCGAGGCAGGCTCTAGGGCCTCACCCTCTCACTATTTCCAGGGGTGCTGGTCCCAGCAGGAACCTGACCACACCTCCCCCCACCCCACCATACTGTCTGCTGACCCAGATGTAGGGAATGGGAACCAGTTGTGCAAAGGCTGATTCTGGCTCAGTCTGGAGATAGAGGTGGGCTCCAGCAGATGTGCCTCTTTTCTTTCTCTAGAAGTTAACTTCCCAAAGGTGTGGGGACATCTTCAATTTGTCCAAGGTGTGGATGGGAGTAGATCTCTATTTTGATCTCACTAGTCTTGTCCCTTAACTTGGCAACCCCAGCCTACTGACCACCCAGCGTCCCTGGGTCTCCTTATCCCACTTCCTCCTCTGTCCCTCCCTGTCCACATCAGCAGGGATGCAGAAGTGAGGGGTGCTGGGGGAAGGACCAAGCAGAAGGAGCCATTTCATTTTGTCAACTTTTATTACCCATACTTGGTCAAGGACTTGGGTGGGTGGCTCTCAGCACCGCCCTCCTGGTCCTGCCCAATTCCCACCACCACCCCGCAGGCGTAAATTCATGAACACAGTGCACTGGGGTGTGAGACCATACTCCCCCAGCTGGTGCTTGTCCTCCATGGGCTTCCCTTCAAAACTCAGCCAGAACAGGTCAGCCTGCACGTGCTCCTGCTGGCACACTTGCTGCTTGAGCTCAGCCACAGTCTGTGTCAGCCGGACCTCGTAGGCGATACTGCGACCCTTATTGTTTCTCACCAGGATGCTCAGGGGGTCATTACAGTTCTTCACCACTAGCAGGACTGTGCTGCCAGGACACAGGCCCTGCCTGATGAGGGAGATCCCATCCTGCAGCACTGTGCCAGCTGGGTGGGTAGCCAGGCGCTGTTGGAACGCAGGCACGCCAGTTTTCAGGGCTATCTGCTGCTTCAGCTCCGATGCCAGCATAGAGTCCCTCAGGGGCACCAGGAACTCCTCACCTCCCAGCATCTTCACAGTCAGGTTCCCAGCCTGTGGGCATCACACAGACTCATAAACCTCACCATCAGTCCTGGAGCCTCTACATGCAGATCATTGGCCACAGGGAAAGCTGTGCTCTCCTCCCCACCCACCAGGAAAGGAACCCCAGGCACTAGAGGGAAGCAGGGAGCATTTCCAGAAGAAAGGCCCATCCCCCAGGACCATCACCTCACCTCCTCAGCCCACTAAGATGCCTTCCTGTGCCAATGCCAAGGGATCTCAGAATTCAACACTGGCAGAACACACTTTCCCAGACCCAGAGCTCAATCTCAGAAGCGGCCCTGCCCCTCCCCTCATGCTTAGGGACCTGGGGGAGCTCTGAGCATCTCCACTTGCCTGGCTCCACCCTTGGAAGACCCTAGCAGTAAGATAGGAAAAGAGCCTGGTACAGAGCCCACCTGCCCCCCTCCTGTCAAACACCCCTTACCATGGCTGTAGGCTCCAGCACCAAGTCCTCCAGGGGCACAGATGGATTGGCTGCCTCTCAGCTTGCAGCTACTCTCCTGTTCAACCCTTTTATGAACCTGAGCTGATCACGTCAGAGGGCAGTGTTGGGGAGAGAGCCTGACCATTGGCTGAATTTAGCTTCGGTTTCAGTTTCCTTTTCCCAGGGAATGCTCCTGTGAGTAGCAGAAACAAAACAGTAATAAAGAGCTGGGATTACCCACCTGCCCAGAGATTCAGGACAATGCTCTCACCCTGTGTTCATTCAGAAACCCCCGTAAGTGTCTAGCACTTCAGGTTCTTTACAAGCTACACGGAAGTCATAACAGAAACTAATGACTGGAAACATTCACTTTCCATTTACCAATTTGCAAAATTAGTAAGTTTGGAAAACATTGCTCTAATTAATTCAGAAATAACAAACAAGTGACAATCCAAACTACCCAGAGATTATCACCATTGCTTTAGGACGGTATTTCTTCACATTGTTTTTTGTTTGTTTGTTTTAATGAAAGAGCTATATCTCTTATTTTCTATAAGAATGAATTCATGAACACTATCCAGAAAGTGAAAAGGCTTTTCTCAAAATGGAAGAAAATATTTGCAAATCATAAGTCAGATAAGGATCTAGTGTCCATAACATATAAAGAACTCTTAGAACTGAACCATAAACAATATAAACAATTCAATAAAAAATTGCGCAAATGGGGGCACCTGGGTGGCAGAGTTGGTTAAGTGGCCAACTCTGTTTTGGCTCAGGTCATGATCTCAGGGTTGTGAGATTGAGCCCCATGTCAGGCTTTGCGCTCAGCCTGGAGTCTGCTCAGGTTTCTCTCTGCCTCTCCCCTGCTCACTCTTTCTCTCAAATAAATAGATAAATAAATCTTTTTTTTTTTAATTGGGCGAGTGTTTGAATAGATATTTCTCTGTAGAAAATACATAAATACACATGAAAAGATGCCCAACATCATTAGTCCTTAGGGAAATGTCATTAGGGAAACTTAGATCAAAATCACAATGAGATACTATATCACACTTATTATTATAGCATGACTATAATTAGCATGACATATATAGCATGACTATAATATATTAGTATAATATAAAGTAATAATTCAAAAAGAACAATAACAAGTGTTGATGAGGATGTAAAGAAATTGGAACATACATTGCTGATGGTAATGTAAAAATGGTGCACCTACTGTGGAAAACAGTGTAGTCACTCCTCAAAAAGTTAAACAGGATTTTCATATGACCCAGCAATTCCATTCCTGGGTATATGTCGAAAAGAATTGAACACAGGTGTTCAGAGAAGTACTTGTACCCAAATGTTCATAGCAGCACTATTTACAACAGAAAAAAAGATAGAAATTGTGGAAACAACCAAGTCCATCAACAGATGGATGCATAAACAAAATATGATACGCTCTTATGATGGAATATTATTGAGCCATAAAAAGGGATGAAGTACTAATACCTGCTACCACATGAATGAATCCTGAAAACATTATGTTAAGTGAAATAAGCCAGACACAAAAGGCCACATATATCATATGATTCTATTTATATGAAATATCCACAATAGACAAACCCATAGAGTCCAGTAGTGATTGCCAGGGAATGATTGCTTTATGAATATGAGGCCTCCTTTGAGGGTGATACAATGTCTTAGAACTAGATAGAGGTAATGGTTGTACAATGTTGTAAATATACTGACTCTGAGTTATGTACTTTAAAATGGTTAAATTTTTGTTATATGAATTTTATGTCAATAAAAACAAAGCCAAAGAAATTAACTCATCCTACTCTTACCATTTTGTAACCTGCTTCATTCAAAACAGTATATCATAAACATTTTTCCATATTAACAGATACTTCTATGCAAGTTTTTTTTTTAATGGCTGGATATATTCCCCATGGCATAATGAATCCATTATAGTATAGAGTGGAATTTAGTTAACCAATCCCATATCATTGACTGTATCGGTTGTTCCCAAATTTTTGCTAAAATAAATAACATAACAGACATATGTTAGCTAAAAATAAAGAAATAAAATTTAAATAAATAAGAAAGTAAATAAATAATTTTGAAATAAAGAAGCAAAGGACTGGAAAAATAAATTTCTGAATATGAATCTTGGCCATTTAACTTCCCCACCCACAAAAAGATTTCATAGGGCTCCAAAATTATGAACACACAAAGAACAAACAGAGGGGCTTAAATGTCTTTCTTTTTATTATTATTTTTTTAAGATTATTTATTCATGAGAGACACAGAGAGAGAGGCAGAGACACAGGCAAAGGGAGAAGCAGGCTCCCCACAGGGAGCCCGACGTAGGACTCGATCCTGGGTCTCCAGGATCACATCATGGGCCAAAGGCAGACGCTAAACTGCTGTGCCACCCAGGGATCCCATCTTTTTATTATTTTAAATGTATATCTTGACTCGTTCCTTGCATAAATAATATTGCTTTTATGAAAAGGAAACAAAAAAAAAGGAAACCATAAACATTTATTTATTTATTTATTTATTTATTTATTTATTTATTTATTTATTTTCATAAATGTTTATTGAAACAAGAATAAAGAGCAGCCTGCATGGCTCAGCGGTTTAGCGCCACCTTCAGCCCAGGCGTGACCTGAGACTGGATTGAGTCTCATGTTGGGCTCCTGCGTGGAGCTGCTTCTGCCTGTGTCTCTGCCTCTCTCTCTCTTTCTCTGTGTTTCTCATGAATAAATAAATAAAATCTTTTTTAAAAAAGTAAGAAAAAAATACAGAATATGAAAATTTGCCCCTCCATATGACCATTATTAAACATGGTATTTGATGTCTTCTGATTTCTTAATACTGACATATAGTACTAGAATCTTCATTTTCTTTTAGTTACTTCATCCATGCCACCAGTTGTCTTCCTACTCTTGATAGGAAAAAGTAAATGCAAAGGCATTAAGGAAGCAAACCGACAGAACCTGTCTCCGTTTCCTGGGGCTGTCGTAACAAATTATCACAAATGAGGAACTTGCAACCTTGGCAAGAGGTTGAAATGCAGGGGGACTAAATGACCAATATTGTCAGCTGGTTAAAAATAATTTTATGTGGCTTACAGAAGACAGGAATCGGGATCCCTGGGTGGCGCAGCGGTTTAGCGCCTGCCTTTGGCCCAGGGCGCGATCCTGGAGACCTGGGATCGAATCCCACGTCGGGCTCCCGGTGCATGGAGCCTGCTTCTCCCTCTGCCTGTGTCTCTGCCTCTCTCTATCTCTCTGTGTGTGACTATCATAAATAAATAAAAATTAAAAAAAAGAGAGACAGGAATCATTTGAAATATAAAGATACAAGAAATTGGAAAGTAGAAGGATGGAAAGAAACATACCATATGACTATTAACTAAAATGAAACAGATGTGACCATATCAACAACTTTAGCTTTCTGCTGTAGGCTCAAGTGGCTGGTGTCAGAATGGGCAAGTTCGTGAAACCCGGGAAGGTGGTGCTGGTCCTGGCCGGCCGGATGCTACTCCAGACAAAAAGCAGTCATCGTGAAGAACATTGATGATGGCACCTCAGACCGTCCCTACAGCCATGCTCTGGTGGCCTGAATTGACCGCTATCCCTGAAAAGTGACAGCTGCCATGGGCAAGAAGAAAATCGCCAAGAGGTCAAAGATCAAGTCTTTTGTGAAAGTTTATAACTACAATCACCTCATGCACACAAGGTACTCTGTGGATATCCCCTTGGACAAAACTTGTCAACAAGAATGTCTTCAGAGACCCTGCTCTTAAACGCAAGGTCCAAAGAGAGGCCAAGGTCAAGTTCGAGAAGAGGTACAAGACCGGCAAGAACAAAGGTTCTTCCAGAAGCTGCAGTTTTAGATTTCTTTTGTTTCAGTCATTAAAAATAAAAAGAAAAAAGAAAAAAACACAATTTTATTAACACATCAACACAGAAATTTTATAAGCAAAGTGCTACAGAGACACAAAACGTCATGTAACAATAAAAGGTTGAGTTCACAGGTAAAATAAAATAATTTTAAACTTGTATGCTCCTGATAATATGGTCACAAAATACATAAATTCTAGTCACAAATATTAGCATTCCATTTATAAAATTATAACAGCCACTTATAAAGGGACCTTTGGTTAATATTTTATCTCATTTACAAACTAACTTAAACTTCCTTAAACCTTTAAAACAGCATCTAGAACATTTAATATACTTGATTTGACTTTTAAAAAAAGATTTTATTTATTTATTCATGAGAGACACAGAGAGAGAGAATCAGAGACACAGGCAGAGGGAGAAGTGGGCTACCTGCAGGGAACCTGATGTGGGACTGGATCCTGGACCCCAGGATCACGCCAGGATCACGCCCTGAGCCGAAGACAGATGCTTAACCGCTGAGCCACCCAGGCGTCCCTACTTGAGTTGAATTGATCCTTTGACTATTGAATAACCGCAAAAAAAAAAAAAAAAAAAAAAAAAGGACATTCTTTCCAAGAATGTCCACAGTCCTTACCACTTAAACTTCACAGAGATACTAGAGGTACTGAGGCCTTTGGTCCCAGCTCAAAGGTCACCCCAGGGCACTATGGAACGATGGGTGTGGGCTGCCCCAGGAGGCCTCCTGATAGACAGATGTTGGAGGCCACAGGCACACCTTCACTTCTGAGAAAGTAGCACAGAGGAGCACCTGAGGGGCTCAGTTGTTTGAACATCTGCGTTTGGCTCAGGTCATGATCCTGGGGTCTTGTGATCAAGCCCCTCATTGGGCTCCCCGCTCAGTGGAGAGCCTCCTTCTCCCTCTCCCTCTGCTGCTTCCCCTGCTTTTCTTTCTCTCTCTGTCAAATAAATAAATGAAATCAGAAAGAGAAAGAAAGAAAGGAAAGGAAAGGAAAGGAAAGGAAAGGAAAGGAAAGGAAAGAAAGAAAAGAAAAGGAAAGGAAGAAAAGAAAAAGAAAAAGAGAAGAGAAGAGGATCCCTGGGTGGTTTAGCACCTGCCTTTGGCCCAGGGCACGATCCTGGAGACCCGGGATCGAATCCCACGTCGGGCTCCCAGTGCATGGAGCCTGCTTCTCCCTCTGCCTG